TAAAATAATAAAACATCTCTATTTTGGGGGAGGGGGGACCAGGGCTGGGTTTGAACCCACCACCTCTGGCATATGGGGTAGATGCCCTACCCTTTTGAACCACAGGCGTCGCCCTAAAACATCTCTCATTAGAGTAAATATACATTAAATTTTACAGATGTAGATCTAACCTTTTAATCTTTAGAATCAATTCCCTCCCAATTTTCTTTTCTTTTTTTTTTTATTTTTGAGACAGAGTCTTACTATGTCATCCTTGGTAGAGTTCCTTGGTGTCACAGCTCACAGCAACCTCAAACTCTTGGGCTTATACAGGGTCCTCAAACTTTTTAAACAGGGCCAGTTCACTGTCCCTCAGACCGTTGGAGGGCCGGACTGTGGGCCCCAGGACAAGATGGTTGCTAAGCAGGATGGGCAGCTGGCAAAAATGCCTGGCGGATCAGATAAATGTCCTAGGCGGGGGCCTATGGGCTGTAGTTTGAGGATGCCTGGCTTAGTAGCTGGGACTACAGGCACCCACTACCACACCTGGCTATTTTTTTTGTTGTAGTTCTGATTGTTGTTTAGCAGCCCCTGGTTGGGTTCAAACCTGCCAACCTCAGTGTATGTGGCCTGCGCCCTACACATTGAGCTATGGGGCACCACCGTAATTTTCAAGATCTTTTGTTGATTTAACTAATAATAGATCATGAGCCTTTAAATTTTTTTAATCTTATAATAATTCCACTCCTAGACATTTACCTTAAGAAAAAAATAAATATTTACAGATAAAGTTCTCTATTAGTATTATTATTATCTTGGTGAAAAAATGGAATGAACAATCATAGAGGAAAATGAATATTCAAAAATCTATGAATTGCACAACAAAATAATTACATATAAAATATTTCCAAAGGACATTTCATAACAAAGAGAAGAATCCATTTAAAAATTGACTGAAAGGCTTGGTGTTGGGCGGCACCTATGGCTCAAGGAGTAGGGCACCAGCCCCACACGGGGTGGGGGGGTGGCGGGTTCAAGCCTGGCCCCAGCCAAAACTGCCAAAAATACATACATAAATAAATAAATAAATAAAAGGCTTGGCACCTATAGCACAGTGGTTACAACACTGGCCACATACAGCCAGGCTGGCAGATTCAAACCCAGCCCCGGTCAGCTAACAAACAATGACAACTGCAACAAAAACAACAGAAATAGCCAGGCGTGGCTCGGTGCCTGTGGCTCAAGTGGCTAAGGCACCAGCCACATACACCCAAGGTGGCAGGTTCGAATCCAGCC